TTTGAAGGGTTCATGGAGTTGCCACCGATGTTTTTACCAGAAACATCGGAAAAAGGAGTTTAAAAAGGCATTGGTTTTCGAAAACCAACTTTGGTCATTAGAACCAGAGTTGGGTAAGGGAGTTAGTTACGTGTAAAGGAAGTGTTAGTTCCTTTACGACGCCCCTTTCGGGTTCCCTATGATAGGCCGGCTACTTTGGATAAATAATTAAACTGGAAAATTGCGCTGTTACCCTTTTTTATTATGCGGAATTTAAGTTTATGACTACATGGCCCTAACTTCTATGCGTAATTTTAAATAAAAGCGGTAAAATTAGAAAGAGAGAGGATGCACCTCCAAAGCAAGCTTTTTATATTTCTCTTTAAAGAGTTGGTGCTTTTTGGCAACCCTTCACTCTACAACTCTCAGAAACTCCGGAATTGCCTCGGAGGGATTCTAAAGAAGATTTAGAACGCTCAATTTATGCCTAGAGACACTCAGAAACTCCACAAATGCTTCGGAGGGATTCTAGAGAGAGAATATCTAGAGAGAAGGAGGAGCTACTGTGCTTGGTGTGTTGAAATGAGGGGAGGGAGCCCCTATTTATAGGTTTTCACGCCTGACAGTGGCGAGACCGTCGGTCTCGTCTGACAAGGTCGAGACCGCCGTCTGGAAAATCCAGACCGCCGTCTCGACCATGCAGGGGGTCGAGACTGCCGTCTGGAAAACCCAGACCGCCGTCTCGACCTTTGCAGTGGCGAGACCGCCGTCTGGACAAGCGAGATGGCGGTCTCGTCCCTGGCGTGAGGCGAGACGGCGGTCTGGTCTTCCCAGACGGCGGTCTCGTCCCTTCAGGCGCGAGAACTTTATTTTTCAGGCCAAAAAACCCTCCTATCTTAGTACGGGGGCCTAATAGTCTCTCCTAGTGGCTTGTTAGGCTTTGGCCGTCTTCAAATAGGAAGCTTTCTAGCTTTATTTGGAGGCCAGACAAGATTTGGGGTCTACACTCACATATAGGAGGTCAGACCAGTTGGAGATCGCTAGATTTTCTGACTCATATTTTGCAGGATGTCAAGAATTTGTAGCATGCTATGAGGCATCAAATCATGGAATATGGCTGAGAAATTTTGTCACAGGGCTGCAAATTGTGAAAGACATTGAAAGACCACTTAAGTTATATTGTGACAATAAATCAGCTGTATTGTTAAGGAAAGAGTACAAAGTGGACAGATTTCCATAGAACACTTAAGGACAAACTCCATGATAGCATATCCTCTAACTAAAGGACTTCCGCCCAAGGTCTTTCATGAGCATTTTGCTCACATGAGTGTTTTACAGTTTGAGGAATTTGTAGTTTAGTGGGAGTTAGTCACTTTCATATATTTTATGTTCTATGTTTAATTTCATATATGTATACATTTTTTTTTGACATATTTGGTTATCTATAGATATGCAGTTTTTTCATTCATTCATTACACTTTGTACATTAAGGATATTATATCGATCTCAATAAGTTAAAGTTTGAACCAGTTGAAAATAGACGTGTACAGATCACTTTCACGTAATTTTTCATGCTACACATTTCATGATGAATCCATGTCATTCGGTTATGTTAGGATGAGTAATCATTGTTGGTTTTAGTTGCGATGATGCAATGAAAAGCTGGTTTGGTTCTATATCTTGATATGATTAATGGACAGGACTTTTAGAGTATGCTAAAGGAATATAATGGCAATTTTGAGCTCATAAAGTCTAACACATTTGTAAGGTTGTAAGGACATATATATTTGTGACCAGTGGGAGATTGTTGGCAAAATTTGGGTCATGTATATATATGATACATAATTTAAATGTGTTAGGGCCATTATTTATTAAGCCAAATAATAAAGTGATCTGACTAAATTAAAGTTTTGGCGAAAGGCATATGTCATGAAAATAAAATTGTGTAGAGACCATAGAGCAATTTCTAATTTGATGAGGGGCCAAATTGGAAATACTAAAACTTAAGTAATTAACCTAATTCTGGTTATCTAAAGGGTCATGGTCCCCTTCCGGGAGCACACACATGAATCGATCCTGTTCCTTTCTTTCTATCCCCATCAAGAGAGAAAATCAAGAGGGAAATACGAGTGCTCTTCGGGTGGAAGACCATAAGATCAATATAGTGCTCTACAAAGACATCATCGTTATGGCTAATTCGAGTACGCTTTAGCAT